CCTCTTTCATTCTTTAATTTAACATTAACAATGACTTCACATGGTTCATCAATTTAATATTTAACTGTATATGATCCATCATCATTATCATTAATTGAATATTTAATGTTAGCTTTTTCTTCTAACAATTACAATTTACTTTTTTCTTAAGGTACATCTTCTTCAACTTCTTCATATTCTGACTCTTAATTTTCACCTTCTTCTCCTTCTTATTATATTTTAACTTTTTTTCTTCTAACAATTCTTTTTTTATTTTATTCTTATTCAATTCTTTCTCTTTCTTCTGGATCCATTTATTCTAATTATTATAATCTAATAGCTTCTCTTTATTTTTCTTCTTCTAATTCAGCCATAATATCTGGTCTAGTAATTTCAATATAGAATTCATCTGCACCACTTTCTCTATTTTAATTATTCAAATTTCTAGTTTAAATATAAAACATAGTTTCATTTTTTATAGCATTTTCTCTTAGAACTCCAGGTCCAAACATTAAAGTTTTATCAGCTTTAGAATTTAAGAAGTATGAGTAGAATTGACTCATAATAGTAAAATCTTATCTATCAATACTAACTTTAACTTCAGATTTTCTAGCTCCATGTTTTTCATATGATGGTGTTTCACAAGTTAATTCAGTTGGACTAATAAATACTCCTGGAACATCTTCTTAAGCTTTACCAGAAAAGAATCTAACAACAATATTTTATGAATCTTTAAATCCATCTCCTAAGATTGTAACTTTAGTTCTTCCAGTTAATGGACCTAAACATGGTTTAATAGAATAGATAGCATATGGAGGTCCAACAATAGATGATACATTTAATGCATACATATCATTCATCCATGCATTAGACCATCCTCCAAACATTAATATTCTAGAATCTTATGGATCATAAATTAATGTAGTTGATTCTCTTGTTTTAGGTTTAACTGGTTTTTCTTCTTCTAATTAAACAGGTGACCATTTCTTAGCATCTACATCCAATACAAATGTATCATCTACTAATCTACTTGCTGTTCTATTTCCACCTTCTTCAAAATTTCCAACTTATCCTCCAAAAATGAAATACTTCCATGATGGAATAGATGGTACCATAATACCAGCCATATTCCATTTTGGTATTTCATGTGATATTTCTGGATCTACCCAACTATTATTATTTATGTCATATATAATGACATTTTAAAATTATGATATTTGATTCCATCCGCCAAAAATCATTAACAAATCATTCTATCCCATTATTTAAGAATTATGACCTCCTCTTGGATCAGGTGGTGTACCACTTGGTTCTAGTTATGACCATTCAAAGCTTTCACAATCTAATACATACAAATCATTAAATGATTTTGTTGCATATCCTACACCTCCATGTCCTCCAAATACATATACTTTGTTCTTATGAAATGTTGCTGAATGATTTCCTCTAGGTTCTGGTGCACCTATTTTTGATTCAGCATTTTTAGGTTCACCAGTTACTTTTTAATTAGGTGGCTAAGCCCATTAAAAATTACTCGTTCTTAAAATGAATGTATCATTAAAACGTAAATTTGATGTGTAAAATCCACCAAATATAAGCATCTTATCTGGAGCTATAGCACATGCTGCATGATTCGTTCTTGGCAAAGGTGGATCACCTGAACATTATACTAACTTCCATTCACAAACATTTGGTGCTACTCTTAATGAATATACTTATAAGTTAATTATACTATTTACCTTAATTATTTGGTGCTATCTTTGTATTCTTCTTTTCGGCATCTGGCTTTTTCTCACTATCTAATCCTCCAAAAAGAATATGAGTTCTTCCAACAGTTACAAAAGTGTGACCTGATCTAGATGCTGGAATCTGTCCAGATTGCTTCACTTATACCCAAACTAATGGTTGTGGCTGTAAAAAGATATGATGTTATAAATACCATCTGTAATTTTTAACAAAAAAATTAATAATAACTAACTATACCTATTCGTTTCACTTAAATATCTACAATAGTAAATATATTTTTTATATATCTTTTAAAATTCAAAATTTTTTTGGTACCTTGCCCTTCTTTTCATGATATTCATCGCTTGAAGTCATTGGAGAATGATAGCCTCCTTCACTAACTTATTTTTTATATTATTTACCTTCCTTTTTGAAATCTCACATATTTGTTTTTTATCTTAGTTCTTCTAAAATGATATTCTTTTTTTTCTTCTGCACTTCCTTCATTAAAATTTTATTTTTATGTTCCTGTTGTCTAAATTGGTTGTAAAATCTCTTAAACAAAAGTTGAATTTTTGCTACTTTATGAAAATATTCTATCTTATGGATTGATCTTTCCTTTTCTTTACAAATTTCCATTCAATTTTTAATTCTTCATACTCAAATATCCTTCCCAACCTTTAATCACATTTCCAATATGACCTGTCTCTTCCAAATATCTTGTTTCTTCATCAAAAATACTCTTCTCCAAATTTTTAAGATCATTCTCTAGTATACCTTTCTTTTCAAATAAGTCTTAGTATTTCTTGTCCATTTAAATATATAATATTTTTATATAAATTATGAATCTTTATTTTTTTATATTCCTCATTCTAAATAGTATAATTGAAGATAATTTTTTAAGTTCATCCATCTACTCTACACTAAAACTATTCAAATCTAATATCTAATTTTATAATCTTCTTAAATCATCAATTGTTGGAATCTACTCATGAATTTCAAAGGCTGCCAAAGTTCTTTATGTACTTATTCTATGTGATAATTAAGATTCAGGATGATCAAAATTACCTGTCTTCATTATATACATTCATTATATATACCTATACTAAATATGCTTATCTATCAATGTTTTACTATTATTAAATTTATTAAACCATTTCCCTATTTTCTTAACTCTATCTCATATCTTAATTCTCTTTCACTATACGAACTTATTAAAATTGACTCTTTGTTTTTACCTTCTATTACAATTGATTTTCTAACTCATTTAAAGCATTCTTTTTGTTCAATGATGGTTGACCTAATTATTAATTACTTCCTAATGTGCTTTTTATAAAATCAGACATCTTTCTTTAACTATTATGATGTCTGTTTTCTTTGGAATTAGATACTTTCATTTTAACGAATAAATTTTACTTAACTTATTTATATATTTTTATGATATACTAATTTAAGTATTGTTTGTTTCAATATTTAAAAACAACTTCTAACTTCAACAAGAAAATTGAAACATTTTATTTTTTAACAATTTTAAAATTATTTATAAAATTATCAATACCTTACTAATTTCTTAAAAATATTACCCTAATAATTATGTTGAAGAAGTATAAGAATTATTTATTAATTTAATTATGTGAGATTACTTATTATAATTAAGAAATGATTTAAATTATAATCTATTTAATAAAATATGATTATTTATTGGGAAATATACTCAATTATAATTAAGAATAAATTTTAGAAAATAAGGAAATAAATATCAAACAAATTTCAATAAAATTAGGTTGAAATTAATTTGTTATATTTATAAGTTATAAAATATAAATTTTAGCAATTTGATATCAAATAATCATAATAGTGCTCACTTTACTATATCCAATCATATTTTGTTTAAGAAAATCATTTTTGATAATAACTTTTGCTTAATTTGATGAAAGAAAGCATGAATTGATTTTTTGTTTAATTTATTCTTGATTATCATTTGGTAATATTTTAAGAAGTGGTAATGATGTATTTTTATTATTAGGAGTCGAGGTAGTGTAATAAGAATGAGGCTTGCTTCTGTATTTGATATTAATATTTTCTAATTATGTATTGATTCTAGCAGCCTATAGTATTGGAGGTAAGGGTTAAGAAACTTAATCGCTATAATCTTCTGTTTTATTTGCTAATCTTTTAGACTTCTTTTTGTAATATTTCAATTGACCACCATAGCATATTACATATTTTTTATTAAGAATCTAATTTTTATTCATTGATATTAAATTATATTAAATTAATCATGTATGAAGATTATGATTTTTCTAAGGATGAAAAGTGGAATCAATTTATTTAATAGGTTGATGAATCTATGTAATATAAATATTATATATTAGATCTAAGGACAGATTGGAATATTTAAAATAAATTTGGTATAAAGAAAATGTGAATAAAAAACATTCAATAGACAATAATAAAATATCAAATGTTAAAGAAGAATCTAAATTGCCATATTACATATACAGTACTGAGAATATATTTAAAATGTCATTTATGCTTTTATTATTCATGTAAGGTGTAGCATAGATATTTGGATATCTTTTCAATTTTTTAGCTTTGTAAAGACAAATAAGAAATACTAAAATTTAATAAAAGAGATAATATGTAAAACTATTGATAAATAATGAATTCTTTCATAACTTGGTGTATTTATTCTTATTTCATTTTTTTGAAAGAATGCACAATATATTAATGTACAGTCCTATTCTCATGCACTCATGGGTAGGAATATCAGAATTTTTATTTCTTCATCATAAATCAATCTATGAAAGTAGAAAATTTGTATTATATATAGTATAGGAATGTAAAGGTATATAGATAAAACTAAACAAAATAAGGAACTTATTCTGATACAAAAATAAAAAGTAGAAATAACTTTATTTCCTGTGCTTTTGTTTGCAAAACTTTTTTTTGAAATTGGAAATTGGGTTTTAGTAATTTTATATCTTGTTTTCCTTAAAATGAAATACCATACAAATAATAGATCTAAAGTTGCTTGGGTGTAAATTGATTATTTTGTCGAATCTAAATTACCAATTTTTATAGTGCCTGCATATAGACAAATTAGATAAATAGCTGTACATTTATTTTTAGATTGATATATTAATTATAATAATAAATTATAAAATTCAAGTTATAAGAAAACTATTTCTCTAATCCAGTTTACTAAATTAATTTTATATTAGATTATCTAATTCTATAAAATGGTTATATATCAACAATTTTTTTATAGAAATGAATTAATATTCTCTCCTTATTTAATAATCTCATTATATCAATAGTAAATATAGTATATTCTTATGAAATTTTTAATTATGGGATGTTTTCTATCATTTCTATACTATTAGGAATAAAAAACAATAAAGAAAATTTGATAAAATTTGTATAAAAACTTTGATAAATAATATTTTTGATTTTATTAATAAATATTAATTAAATGCGTTTTAGAGTGATATTGATTGTTATGATGGTTTTAGTGTATGGCTATAATAAAAAGGATACTTGTCAGAATATCTAAAAATTTACATATGATGAATGGGATGCAAAATTAATGTGTCCAAATCCTTTAGCTCCAATTCTAGAAAGTCAGAATATACCAAAAGCAAAATGCAACAGATTCAAACCTAATTTTGATTCCCCTAATAGAAGATTGAATGTTCAAGATGTTGAAGAGTTAAGATAGAAGATGAAATAAAAATAAGAAGGAAATCTTAAATTTGATCATGATTAACAATATAAGCAATTTAAAGAATAATAAAATAAAAAATAACAAAAGGATGATTTATGATGTAAATATATACTCCTATTATTGTAATTAATCAATATTCTTTTCTTTATTTCTTATTTTTTATTAAGTCTTTTACTTACATAATTATTAAGTTTATTATTAACTTTTAAATACATTTTATTAATAACAATGTTTCTGATTTCTCTAAAATTTATTTATTGCAGATTAGATAATTAACTATTCATCAACTTCTTTAATAATTATTGATTCAATGAATTATTATTTAATTATCAAATTGAACGGATAATAGGTATTATAGAATCTCTCATATTGTCTAATTGTTGTAGCAACATTTTAACTTTTACCAATTTGAATTTTCTACTATATATTTCTTTAACCATCAAATCTATAAATTATCATAAAAAAATAATAAAAGTTTCTTTCTTGATTTAAACTAACAATCTGATAATTAAATCAAGTATTTATAATATTTAATCTAAATCTTATTTTAACTTATTTCTGTTAGATTTAATATTTACCAATCTTCTTATAATGTCAAAATATTATCAACATAAAAGAGAACATTATAGAATAATCAATATTCATGGGAATTTAACAATAATTTACAAGATAAATTTAAAATTAGAATTTAAACAAATTTGTATATAATTATCTTACATATTAAAATAAGGAAAATAATCAAAAAATTCTAGCTTTTATTTTTTTATCAATCAATCCCTTAACTGCATTACTATCATAAAACTTTTCTGCAAATGAGGATTATTATGATTCAGTGTTTATATTCTTAGACATGTAAGATCTAATACTATTAAAATATACTTATTAAAAGATGTTCTATATTATCCTTCAAAACTTTGTTTAGTACTAAATAATCTTGGACTAACAGGTCTAATCAATTTTGATGGAACTGAATAATGAGATTAATAAAAATGTTATGAAGTTGTTTCCTTTATTAAAGATTAGGCATTCTCATAAAAGGGACCTCTAGATGCATAAATAAAAATACAATTTTATATGTTTTTGTAATTCGACTTTATCAGTTTTAATTTATTTAAAGTTTTTTGAATAATTAGTTTCAGCAATAAAAGGTAAAGTTGATTGTTATTTAGGGGATAGTTATTAAGTTATTTTACCAGGGTATTAACCCTTCCAATTCATAAAATTTGAATTATATGTAGATAAAAATGTTGATTGATTTAAATTGGGATTGTACTCTGGCTTAAAACTATCAACTTTCTCTGTAGTTTAAGGTACAAATTATTGCTAAAATATAAGAATTAGAAAATAATACATTATAAACACTCTTTTTTTGTAGATAGGCCAAATTTGGAGCATAATATTATTCATATGCTTTAGATTAATTCAATAATGGTTAATCAGGGTTATGTTTTGATCCTGAATAATCTCTTGAATATTAAGATGTTTATTTTTTTGGTTAATAATATTTTATTTCATTCAAATTAATATTCTTGTTTTGCTAATCTTGTTATGTTAATTCTAATTTACACAAGCAAACTTTAAGTAACCCTTAAAAATATTCTGAATTATTATTAACAACTTCTTCTATAGTTTAATTTTATTCAACTAAATCTTTCCAAATTTCATGTTCAATTGGGAATATTTCAATCACTGCTTAATATAAAGTTTTGTTATTATTATCAACACTTTATTAGTCAGATGAGTTTATTAATGGAAATTATATTGCATTCATTTTTTTATCTTCTAAAATAGAGTTATTAAGAGAAAGCAATAATTAATTTTCTTATGGAAAATATGACTATTTTACATCATAATGATCATCTCTATTAATTAAGGTATTTTTTAGTTTCAATACCTTTCTTTTTAATGGAGATTAATTTCTTGATAATTCTTTTGAACTCATCTATTTATTTGTAGATAATGATGAATTATTGGTTCTTGTAAAGTCGTTATTTTACAGTATTCGTTTAACTTCATCACTAATAATCATTATTTTTTATAAAAGCAATATATATTTATTTATATAATTTATTTATATCTATAATATAATTGTATCATATTAAATACATCTAAATAACATTATATATATGTTAAGCTAGATATTTAAAATTATTATTAACTTAGTCAAAAAGTTTTTTTAATATTATTTTTATTTGGATGAAAAATAAATATGGATAAGTGTAACTTAATAACAAGCAAATTATGAAAGTCGGAGGAAGAGGTGCTCTTGATAACACTGGCAATAAAACAAAAAAGAAAGAATTCTAAATTCAGCTAATAGATTAGCCATCCTAAAATAAAAATTAATTGGCATAAACTAATTTATAGAAGAAGAAAGAGATTGCAGCAAAAAAGATATATAGATTTTTGTATAAAATTTATAAATAGTATTATTTGTTTAATATTTTGTTTATAGAAAAGAAAAATAACATAGATATAGAAAATTTATTATTGACGAGCTTATAAATACAGAAAGAAATTATGTTCATGATTTAAAAATTCTGATAGTCATATAAAGTTAAGTAAGACAATGGTTAAATAAACAATAAATTGAAATGATATTTAATAATCTACAATAATTGTATGATTTGAATAGCCCTTTTCTTTAAGATTTAGAAGGATTTCTTCCATATAAGAGATACAAATTATTAGGTCCAATAATTAAAGGATTGGCCCCATTTTTTAAAGTTTATTTTACATATTATGAGGGATTTAATAAAGCAATGACAACCCTTAAATAATGTATTAATGAAAAAGAAGATTTTAGAAAATATCTTAAAAATATGTCTCAAATAAAGGATTATAATAATTAAGATATTGAGAGTTTTTTGATTAAACCAGTTTAAAGAATTCCTAAATATAATTTACTCTTATTGGATCTCTTAAAACACACTGATAAAATTCATCCAGATTATAAAAATTTATCTGAATGTTTGGAATTATTTAAAAAAATTAATGACGATAATAACTAAAATATGGATAGATTTTTATCAAGTAAACTATTTGATATAGATAAATGGTTTGGAACTAAACTCAACTAGAAATTAGTGAATTCTAAAAGAAAATATATTACTGAACTCTTAACTTCGACTTTAGATTAGCATAATAAAGTTATTAATGTTACAGCTTTTATTCTAAGCGATTTAGTAATTATTGGAGAGAGATAAGATAATCAATATTAATATGTTTAAAGTGTATTTTTAGATGAAAGAAGTGGATGTTTAGATGTTGAAAATCAATAACATCTCTAAAATATTTATATTTTATAAGGAATTAATGGATAATCTATTACCTTCATTGAATAAACACCATAGGATAAAATTGAAAAAATGGCTAAGTTATAGAATATAATTCAAGAATGTAAGGTATAATCTAAATATACATTTTAAAGACTAGCATCACGTTAAGGGTCTGAGGTAAACTTTTAATTAAACAAAATAAAAGTAACTGCTTTAGGTCTAGATGAAAGACAAGAAAATTTAAGTAGTTATAAAGTATATATAATTGAGGTTGGGATAGATGAAGTTTTTTAGAAATTATTTTTAAGGTTTAGTTAATGTATAAAGATTTAAGAATATATAAAAAAGAAATACCCAAAACATTAATTTCATTACTTAAAATAAAATACAACAATAAGTTTATTAAATGATTAAAAGGAAATTGAATCAAGAATGATTGCAATACCTCTTTTTGTTTAATCAATTCTTATTTCAGATATACCAAGATAGGATTTATAAATTTTAAAAGACCTTGGTTTGCCTGAAAATTTTTATGAATTGCCATCTAAAGCAAATGAGTTTAGAAATTAAAGAAATGGCCCTTAAAAAGGTCCTGATAGATTTAGTTATGTTTCTCCTACTAGAACTCTAATTAAAACAGTAGATTATGGAAATGATTCACAATCTTTTTAAAATAATTAATGTAATAGAAGATTATTAAGCGCATCTTCTTTAATAAGTAGAAATATTACATTAGTGGAAGAAAAGAAAAATAAAAAAGAAAAGGATACAATTTAAATAATTGTTAATCATGCAATCCCTCAAGAAAAACCATGGGAATTTAATATATAAAATAATACTAAAGTTTTACATGTATTAGATTAGATTTAAAAGATATTGTAATTAAAAGAGATTTATGATTTTAAATTATACATATTTGATAATAAATCTAGAGTGAAAATATTGCAAAATGATGAAAATATCTGTGATTTATTTGGAGATAGTTTTATTTTTGCTAAAAAAAAAAAAGAGCTTTGGTTTAAAAAACTTTTATATTAAGATTTGGATAATGAGAAAAGCCTACTATAATCTGATAATACTAGAATGAAACTTTTATATTACTAATTAGTAAGGGATATATAAATATCTACATTGCCATTTCCAACTCAAAATTAATATATAAAATTAGCTGCAATTCATTTGTATTTATAAAAATGCAATCTTTCATATGATGTTATTCAATAAATAATTCCAGCCACAATTTTATAACTTAAATAAAGAGAATATTGGAATTGTGTGGTAAACTAAGAATTTAAAGATTTTAAAAGTAGTATGGATAATTAAAAATCTACGAAAGTCGAAATAAATGAGCCTTAAGAGATCGTTAAAGCTAAACAAAAGGGTTTATTTTCATCTTTCATCTAATCTACTTAAACTCAATTCTCTAAAGTTGAAAATCTGGATAGTGATTAAAAAAACCCAATGATTTAATTTATTTCAGAATGTTTGAAAAATGATTTTTGCATATAATAATTATTTCAAGTTGTTTGCAAAGAAGCATTATAATAGTTTGGTGAATAAAATTTAGTATTGGGTATTAGTTACCAAGGAATTAGACTATATAGTAGCTCTAAAGATAGAATATGGGAAAAAATTGATTAACCTTAATCTTTTAATGTATTTCCAGGATTTATTGAAATAGCATATAAAGGTAAAAAGTTTAAATTTGAAACAAATTAAGGATTCTAAATTCAATCTTTGTTTGATGAATATTAATCAATCAAATATTAGAATTAAGAATGATATGTTATTTTGCATAACCTTATTATTTTATTATAATATATAATTAATTTTTATGATCATATTGGATTAATAAATGAAGGAAAACGAAAATATAGAAGATGAATCTGAAGATAAGTATGAAGTAAAAAGGGATATATTAGATAATTATATGTACCTTTATTTCCTATGAGAAAGAAACCATCCATAGGATCTAATTAAATAAATTCTTAATCTACATCATAATCAACATAAATGCTTACTTAGTTTAGAAGTCTGTAAAATTCTAATGAGAAAAGAGAATTGGAAGTAACAATAATTAAAGAACTTATGAAAGATAAACGATCAACTTAATTCTATGCTGTGCAAGATAATTGGATTACATAATATAAATAATATTTATATCAAAATGGTCAAAGACCAGGTATTTTAGATAATAATAACTGTACTTAATATATTATAGTAAATGAGGCCATCTGGATATTTTTTAAATAAGAATATTAAGCTCATCCAGATATAATTTGTAAATAAAAACATTCAAGAACTAATGATAAAAGATCGAAAACAGTTGAACCTATTGTAAATCCTTAATCTGTCTCTACTTCTTAATCAACTTATGAATTGCCACTTATTGGAATGAAAAATGATTCCTACTATTGTTATATGCATTCAGGATTATAATCTTTATTAAGTATTGCAGATCTTAACTACTTTATTATTAAATATATTCAAAGAATTTCTAAATAATAAATCTTTGATAAAAGAAAGTTTAATACTCTTTCATTTACCAAAGCCTATTTTGATTTAATTGATTAAATCAAATCTAATACTTTTCCTATTAAAATTAATCCAATTAAAACATTTATAATTAATCAGTTTCATCCTAAAAATTAACATGATTGTCATGAATTCTTACTTTATTTGTTGGGGCATATAGAAGATGAAATTTTAAATTTTAATAAAGAAACTAAATCTACATATATAAATTTTATTGAGTAAATCTTTAAAGGTAGCAAACTTTATATTTAATAGGAAAAATTTAGACTACAATTCTATGTCAACTGTGTAAAAATAAAGTCAAATAAATTGAACCATTTTTAACCTTATCATTAGCCATCTCTTAATCTAAAACTCTTGATTAATGTTTGGATGAATTTTTAAAAGAAGAGACACTTCGAGATTACTAATGTGCAAAATGTTAATCATTGTGTATTAAGACCTTATAAGTTGTATCTATTCCATAAATACTTGTATTGCATTTAAAAAGATTCTAATTTATGCCATAATGTCATAAAAATAACAAAAATATAACATATCCTATTGATATTCTAAATTTTGCTAATCGAACATTTAGACTTCGGGCAGTCATTGTGCACACTGGCAATTTATAATCGGGTCACTATTTTACTTTTGCTAAAAGATATCATTAATGGTTTTTATTTAATGATGAAACTGTCAAAGCAGCTACCAAAAAATAAGTGCTCCTGTAAGCAGCATATATCCTTTTCTACTAAATTAATGAAAATCCATGATTATTGATTTTATATTTATATTTTTATCAATTGCAATTAATTAAAATATTTACTTTGAACATTTATTTTCTAGTCGTTTACATTATAATTAGGGTAAATCAACAAAAATTGATTAGAATTTTTTTATATTTTTTTATTGTTTTTAAATTGGTAATTTTATTAAAATAAATTCTTTAAATATAAGTAACAAATTTCAGATTAATCTATTATAAATAAAGAATATATTCACATTATAAACAAAATTCACATATTTATTATTTGAGAATGATAGATCAATCTAAATATCACAATAATATAAATTTCTTCTAATTATAAAATATATTTTCTTAAACTACATGTATTCATTTTATTCATCATTGTGGAAGGTGAAAACATGACAGCTCTTAATTCAATATTTATGTGAATCCAATTTGTTTTAATTATTTTTTTCATAAAATAAAAATTATTAATTTGTAAAAAAAAATAAAAAATCTTAACACTTTTTAATCTTTTATTGATTTTATATTTAAAATATTTAAATTTTATCTCTAGCTATCATATATATATTTTTATGAATATTTTATATTCAAAATTTAAAAGTTGAATTTAAATTCATAATATTTTGAAATTTATAATTTAGAAAATTTTAAATAAATTTGTATAATTATTTTTTTAATAAATAACAATATATTAATTTGTAAAATACATTAAGAATCTTTACATGTTTGTACTTTTATTAAATTTTTATTTGAAATATATAAATTTTATCTATAAATATAATATAATACTAATATTTTTTTGAATATTATATA